TCCCCACAGTGCCTTCACCTTACCAGTCCCCACCTCTCTGCTGCACCCCCAACCTCCGAGCGGGAGGCAGATTCCTCCTCTGGCTCTGCAGACCTGCACATCTCTAGACCTCAGTTTTCCCTGCTGGGAAGTGGCCCCATCTCCTCTGAGGCCAAGACTGGGGCAAAGCGGACCAGCCGCGGGCCAGGTTGGGGGTGAGGAGCGCGTTCTTTGTCTCAGGAACACAAAGTCCCGTTTGTGAGCGCCTGGCACGACTCTGGGCAGGGAGCCACGTGGGACAGGAGGCAGCACTGGGCGGAGTGGGCTGGATTTCCAAAGCCCCATTGTGGGCTGGCTGCCGAGGAAGCAGGCCACCATGTCCCCTCCTCCCATGGCCAGAAGACAAGGTGTCCGTCTGTCAGGCCACACTGCGGCTTCCTTCTTCCTCAGTCCTGCTCCACCAAGTGCCCCTCCCCTGGCCCCCTGCCTTGGAATGGAGAAGTAGAAAGGGGGAGGCTGACCAAGCGTGAGACTGGGGGTGGGGGGAGTGGATATTTCCAGAGCCTGTGGCTTTGTGGCCAAGAGCAAGGCCGGCTGAGAAGCTATGTCTTGTCCTCTGTTGCTCAGCAGCCTCACCCCGTCCCCTAGGACGTGGGGACAGAGACAGGGGTGAGTCCTACCTCAGCAGTGTGGCAGGGGATAAACCCCAAAAGGAGGGAGCAAAGCCAAAAACCCCAAAAGGAGGTGGGAGCAATGCCCCCATTTAACAGAGAGGAATGCTGAGGCCTTGGCTGGGGGTGGATCCGCCGGCCACAGAGCTAAAGCTACAGTTCCAGCTTTCTGAGGACTAGTGTTTGTGTAGGGACTCTCTCCCCACCTCCAAGCCAGGGAAGTTCCAAACCAGAGATGGGTTATCTCTCTATTAACAAACCCCAGGGCCCTGCACCTCTCAACCTGTGTGTCCTTGGAGGAGTCACTTACCTCCTCTGAACCTCCGTCCCTTGTCTGTCACTTCTAATCCAGATACCGCCCTTCCACGGCCCTATGCAGTCCTCCTGACAAACTTTGTTTTTTTTTGCTGTGTTGGGTCTTAGTTGTGGCACACAGGCTTCTAACTGTGGGGTGTGGGCTCAGTTGCCCTGCAGCATGGGGTTCTTTGTTCCCTAAGCAGGGATTGAACCTGCGTCCCCTACATTGGAAGGCGGATTCTTAACCATTGGACCACCAGGGAAGACCCCAATCAAACTTTACAATACAGACTTTTGTTCTCTTCTAGGCAGGACATATCCTCCTGCCTCAGGACTTTTGCATGTTCTGTTTTGAAAACTTGGAATATCTTTCTTCTCTTCTACTCATCCCGTCTTGCCCTTCAGGCCTGGATTCATATGTCACTTCCTCAAGGAGGCCTCCCTGCCCCCTTCCTTGCCCTCTGCACCTCTCCAGGCAATCCTGTCAGAGTGTAATGATGTATTTACAGAGTGATTTGACTCATCTGGCCTCCACATTAGCTTCTAAGCCCCATGAAAGTGAAAGTGTTAGTCACTCAGTCGTGTCCAACTCTTTGTGATCTCATGGACTGTAGCCCGCCAGGCTCCTCTGTCTATGGGAGTCTCCAGGCAAGAACAATGGAGTGGGATGCCCTTCTCTAAGGGATCTTCCTGACCCAGGAATTGAACCCCAGTCTCTGGCATTGCAAGTGGATTCTTTACCATCTGAGCCACCAGGGGAGCAAGCCCCATGAGGACAGGTTTCTCTTATCCACCGCTGTATCCTCACACAGTGCCTGGCACATAGAAGGTGCCCCCATAAACACTGGAGGAAGGGAATAGACCTAAGAAGGGAAAGATCCAAAAAGGGGCTCAACTTGGGACTTCCCTGATGGTCCGGTGGCTGAGACTCCTCGCTCCCCATGCAGAGGGTCAGGGTTCAATCTCTGATCAGGGAACTAAGATCCCACTTGCTGCAGCTAAGGATTCCTCATGCTGAAGCTGAAGGTCCTCCATGCCTCAACTAAGACCCAACACAGCCAATAAAATAAATAAATATTTAAATAAAAAGGGCTCAACTGTCTCTGGAATGTTGTGGTTAAAGAGGAGGGACTCCACATCCAGGTGGCGTGAGTTCAAAACCCACCTTTGACTTGATACCACAAGCACACTCCATGAAAGAAAATGTGACAAAGCAGGACTCATCCCAATTTAAAACTTTACAAAAGACCATCTGAGGAGAATGAAAAGAGGAGCTATAGGCTCGGAGAAGATATCCAACAGAGGACTCTCTGGAACATCTCGATGTATATCTAGACTATTCAGAGAAGTCTCAAAACTCAGTTTAAAAAAACCCAATTAGGACACGGGCAGCAGACAGGAACAGATATTTTGATGAAGAGGACATACAGATGGCAAATAAGCGCATGAAAAGATGGTCACCATCATTAGCCAGTAGAGAGATGCAACGTTAAACCACAGTGAGATATTGCTACACACCAATCAGAATGGCTAAAACAAAAAACAGTGATGGCAGTGAGGATGCAGAAAAAAACTGGATCACATACATTGCTACTGGGAATATAAAATAGTGCAGCCATTCTGAAAAATAATATGGCAGTTTCTTAACTTAAAAACAAACAAAACTAAACAGGCACTGGCCATATGACCTAGCAATTGTACTCTTCGGCATCTATACTGGAAAAATGAAAACTCATGTTCATACAAAAACCAGGAGAGGAACTTCACTAGGCCTTATTCAGAGTAGCCAAAGTCACAAATCAACCCAAATATCCTCCAACATGAGTGATCTCTTTTTTGGCCCCACCTCCTCTCAGCTTGCAGGATTTTAGTTCCCCAAGTAGGGATGGAACCTGGAGTCCCTGAAATGGAAGCTCAGGGCCCATTCCTAACCACTGGGCCCTCAAGGAAGTCCCATAATGTGAATTCCATCCGTCCCATGGAATTCTTCTCAGCAATCAAAAAGAATAAACACCTGTAACAAGCAGCATGGATCTCAAGAGAATGATGTTGAGTGAAAAAAGTCAGTCTCAAGCAGTTACACAGCATATGATTCCAATTGCTGTATAACAGCCCTGACATGACAAAATAATACAGCTGGAGAACAGATGAATGGAAGTAGGGGTTAGGGAGGCAGGAGGGAGAAGGTGGGTGTAGCTATAAAAGGTTGGATTGAAGCACTCTTGTGATGACTGTTCTGTATTTGGACTGTGGCAGTCATAGGAATCGACATGTGATAAAACAGCATAGAATGAAGGAATTCCCTGGTGGTTCAGTGGTTACAACTCTGATCTTCCACTACTAGGGGCCCAGGTTTGATCTCTGCTCAGGGTACTAAGATCCTACAAGCCTCGCTATTTGGCCAAGTAAATAAACAATAGATAACACCACCCTTATGGCAGAAAGTGAAGAAGAACTAAAGAGCCTCTTGATGAAAGTGAAAGAGGAGAGTGAAAAAGTTGGCTTAAAGCTCACGACTCGATGGACATGGATTTGAGTGAACTCCGGGAGTTGGCGATGGACAGGGAGGGCTGGCATACTGCAGTTCATGGGGTTGCAAATCGTCAGACATGACTGAGCGACTGAACTGAATTGAAATACACGCACACACACATGCACACAAACAAGTGCATATAAAATGAGGCAGTCTAAATAAGGTGGGAGGATTTTAATCAGTGTCCGTATCAGGTTGTGATCCGGACTGTAGTTGAGTGAGATGTCACCACTGGGGGAAACTAGGTGAAGCAGTATGGCTTCTCTCATTTTATTTCTTAAACTGCACAGGAATCTACAATTGTCAGTAAATAAAAAAGCTGTATCCATTTAGCTATCCATCTTTTAGAATGACTTTCACAAACGTAAAACTGACAGTTCCAATTGCTGGCTAGGAGATGGAGCAATCCAAACTCACATGCATTGCTAGTGTGCATATAAAACAGTGCAGCCCCTTCGAAAACCAGGTTTGCAGTTTTTTGTACAGCTAAACATGCACTTACTATATGGCCCATCTATCATAAGCCTACATATTTGTGCAAGTGAAATGAAAGCTTCTGTTTGCACATAAGCCCTGTGTGTGAACACGGGCTATATTTATAATTGCCCAGAATTAGAAATAATCCAAGTGGAGGACAAATAAACAAACTATAGTATGTTATCAAATACTACTCAGTAGTGAAAAATGCATGTCAATATGTACACGTCAGTATGAATGAATCGCAGATGAATACTGCTCTGTGCAAGAAGCCAGACTTAAAAGGTTGATAATGTATACAAGTCTACTGAAGATATTCTGGAAAAGGGAAATCTACAGGGAAAGGTAATAGTGGTTTCCAGGGGCTGAGTGAGGACAAGGTGGATCACAAAGGGACATGAGGACTTTGGGGGGGTGATGAAAATATTTTGTATCTTGACTGTGGTGGCTACACAACTTTATGCATTTGCTAAAACCCATAGAACTGTATGCTCCGTATACATGGTGCTAGTGGTAAAGAACTTGCCTGCCAATGCAGGAGACATAGGAGACTCGGGGTTCAATCCCTGGGTTGGGAAGACACCCTGGAGGAGGGCATGGCAAGCCACTCCAGTATTCTTGCCTAAAAAGTCCTATGGACAGAGGAGCCTGGCAGGCTACAGTCCGAAGGGTCGCAAAGAGTTGGACACGACTGAGCATGCACACAACACAGCTGATCACACAACCATGTTAGTGAAGTCCTGCCCCACCCATCCGGGAGGAGGTTTGACTAGCCATGGTGCACCAACAGTAGCAAATTCTTGGCCAAGAGACCCACGTCCTGTTCATTGCACCCCAATTTAGACTGGGAGTTCAAGTCTCCTCCAGAAAAGGCAGAAACTGCCCTCTCCCTGCAGCCCCCACCCTCTGGGGGGGCGGATTCTCCAGTCCGGAGCTGGCAATGGAATGTTGTGTCGTTGGTTGCCCAGGCGACCAAGGCCTGCTGGGTGGCTGCCTTCTGGGAGTACTGAGCGTGAAAACCGTCCATCAGAAGCCCCCGAGACTTGTGCAAAATTCCAGAAAGCAAGCAAGCCCGGGGCAACAGCGGGAGAATGGCAGTGCCCTGGGAGGAATATTTCCAACAGGTTTTGGAAGAGAAGCTGTCTACGTGAGTGGTGTGCAGGGCACACTGAAGCAGGCAGGACGGGTGGGCAGGAGTGGGTGGGTTGGCCCCTTCCTTTCCCCCACCCCTGGATCCTGGCTTCTAAGGGCAGTTCTTGGTAGGGGTTTATGGCCCCACTTCCCAGAGGAAGACACTGAGGCTTGAAGGAAATGGCAATTTTCCCAAGGTCTCAGGGGTAGTTAGGGCAGAGCTGGGTCAATAATCCCAGTCTCTGATCTGTGCCTGAGCCCCACTCCTAGCTGATACTCAGTTGAGATGAAATCGTTTGACCCAAGGTGGGAAGGAATTACTCTCGTACCCTCTCCTTGCAAGCTGCATTTTAGAGGAAGATTGGAAGAAGCTTGTCAGCCTTGTTCAGCACTGTGGCTGGAGGGGGTCCCAACTTCAGTATCATTTAATATATCATTATATATATATATATGCAGCATGTGAGATCTTAGTTCCCCTACCAGGAATCTGCCTGCAATATAGGAGACCTGGGTTCGATCCCTGAGTCTGGAGGATCCCTTGGAGAAGGGCATGACTACCCACTCCAGTATTCTTGCCTGGAGAATTCCATGGACAGAGGAGCCTGGTGGGCCCCAGTCCTCGGGGTCGCAAAGAGTCAGACACAACTGAGCGACTACTGCTTTCACTTTCACCAGGAATCAAACCTGTGCTTTCTGCAGTGGGAGTGTGGACTCTTTTTTAAGATTTATTTATTTAGTTATTCCTATTTTTTTGGCTGTGGTGGGTCTTTGTTGCTGCACGTGGGCTTTCTGTAGTTGAGCTGAGCGGGGGCTGCTCTTCGTTGCTGTGCGTGATCTTCTGATGGTGGTGGCTGGCTTCTCTTGTTGCGGAGCACAGGCTTTAGGAGTGCAGGCTTCAGCAGTTGTGGCTTGCAGGCTCAATAGTTGTGGTGCAAAGGCTTACCTGCTCCGGGGCATGTGAGATCTTCCCAAACCAGGGATCAAACCAGTGTCCCTTGCATTGCAAGGCAGATTCTTAACCACTCGACCACCAGGGAAGCCCGAGTGTGGACTCTTAACTTAGGGGAGTCCCCCAACTTCAGTCTCAGAATCAGTAAAATGGGAGGGTTTCCCCTGGACCAGAGCTGGGCAATCCGAGTATAACTGTAGCACATCCCTCCTGCTCCTGACACAGCTGACCCTGTGGGGCTGGGTCCAGCCTCTCCTCTCTCCTGGAAGCCTGGCTCCAGAGCTCAGTCTCCTAGACCCTCCCCCACAGAGATCAACTTGCAGCTCAGTCTCAACTTCGCCTTACAGAAGAGCTGACCTCCCTGCTCCCCACTCAGCCTGCCATCAGCAACATCCTTCCAATGTCGAGGTTCCCCTTTGAACTCCTCTCTCACCGCCTCATCACCGCATCTGCTCTGCTCTCCAGTGATACCCAGAACCCACCACTCTTTACCTCTCTACAGAGCCACCCAGACCACAATTGCATCCTCTCCACATTATCCTGTGATCTGTCCTGGGTCCCCTGCAGCTGCCCTACCCCTCTTATTGGCCTTCTCCCCCACAGCAGCCAGAGGGGTACCTCCTCTGCTCCAAACCCTCCCATGCTTCCCATCTCACTCAGAGTCAAAGCCAGAGACCCCCTTCATTGCAGCCCACTGCAGTCTGACCCTCGTAACATCTCTGATCTCAATTCCCATCACTCTGCTCCTCCCTCCCTTCCCACCACACTGGCCTCCTGGCAGCTCTTTCTACATACCAAGGTCCTTCTCTTGGGGTCTGGCATTGACTATTCCCTCAGCCTAGAATCTGTTCCCTGCAGCATCAACATGGCTCCCTCCCTCTTCCCCTTCAAGTCTCTGCTCAAATGTCCCTTTCTCAGAGACTTTTCTATCTCCCTATTGAGAGATTTCATTTAGTCTGCTGACTTTCATCTCAGTCCCTACCATGTCCCAGCATTTATTATTTTTTATTTTGGCTGCACCACAGAGCATGTCAGACCTTAGTTTTCTGATCATTAGTCAAACCTGTGCCCCATGCTTTGGAAGCCTGGAGTCTTAACCACTGGACTGCCAGCGGAGTCCCTCAAAGTGTGAAAGTGAAAGTGTTAGTTGCTCAGTCGTGTCCAACTCTTTGAGACCCCACAGACTCTAGCCAACCAGGCTCCTCTGTCTATAGGGATTCTCCAGGCAAGAATACTGGATTGGGTAGCCATATTCTTCTCCAGGGGATCTTCCTGACCCAGGGATCGAACCTGGGTTTCCCACATCTCAGGCAGATTCTTTACCAGCTGAGCCACCAGGAAGCCCAGGGAAGTCCCTAGCATTGTTTGTTGTTTGTTAGCTTTCTTTTCTGTGTTCCCTAGTGGGATGCCAGAACCCCTCCAAAAAAAGATGAGAAAGTGATGGAGCCAACTTATTACTACAAGGTCTGAGACAAGGCACTGTGCTGAGCCTTGCTTTCCTCATCTGTCAAATGGGGGTCAGATGAGATCAGTGGTTGGTGCAAATCAATGCGCATTGAGCAGCTACTGTGTGCAGGATATACCCTGGGATCTAGAAGTCTCACCACAGCCCCTGCCTTCATGGGCTCAGCCTAGAGAAGAGAACAGACAAGTGTCCGGGTAATGACTGCTGTGAGGGGGGAAGCACTGAGCAGGGATGGCGGGAGCCCAGAGAAAGCCCCTGTCTCTACACAGCAGTGGTCACAGAGGACTTCCTGGAGGAAGTGATGTCTTAAGGATGGCTGAAGGGCAAGTCAGCTTTTCCAGCAAAGAGGGATAGGGTGAAAAGGGGGAAACACACAGAGGGGACAGCATATTCAAAGACAGGAAGGTGAGGACAAAACACAGGTGAATAAGAGTCTGGAAAACAGTGTTGAAGGAGACAGGGTGAGATGAGGCCCGAAGGAAGAGCAGGGATGCTATCATGCAGGGGCTACTGGAGGGAATTTGGGCTTCATCATGGATAGTGGGGGGGCCACAGGTAGATATGAGCCAGGGTGCAGCAGCAAGATTAAAGGCAAAAGATGAGCAGAGTTAACTATGAACCTGAAAGCGCTGGATGACTTGAAACCCCAAACACACACAGATACCTACTGCTTACTGGCCAGGTGTTCGAGATCACAAAGGCCTCCCTGAAACAGCGATGGGAACAGTTGGAACAGAAAGAGCAGGAGCTAAAGGGGTCATTCATCCGCTTTGAAAAATTTTTGCAGGTATGTGGAGACTGGTGGGGGAAGGCAGGGCAGAGGTCACAAAGTCACAATCCTATGAGCCAGACCAGTCACGAAAACTTAAAAAGTGGGTTTACCCAATTAAAAAGAATAAAATAAGACCATCTGCAGCAACATGGATGGTTGTCATACCTAGAGATTGTCATACTTAGTGAAGTTAATCAGGCAGAAAAGGAACATTGTATGACATCCCTTATATGTGGAATAAAAAAAAAATCATACAAATTAAATTACTTACTTACCAAACAGAAAGAGACTCACAGACTCAGAGAAGGAATTTGTGGTTTCTGGGAAGGCAGGGCAGGGATAGATGGAGAGGTTTGGAAATGGGTGGGGAACAGATAGTTAGGGAGTTTGGGATGGACATGTACACACTTCTATATTTAAAATGGATAACCAACAAGGACCTACTGTATAGCATAGGGAAATTTGCTCAGTGTTACGTGGCACCCTGGATGGGAGGAGAGTTTGAGGGAGAATGGATACATGCATATTTTATGGCTGAGTTTTTTCGCTGTTCACCTGAAACTATCACAACATTGTTAATCTGCTATACCCCAATACAAAATAAAAAGTTTCGTGTTTTTTTTTTTTTTAACTGGGCTTACCAATATAAAAGGGACCGGTGGGAAATACACATGCACTGCCTGAAGCATTTTAAAAAGCGTGGGAGAGGAGTGAGGGGCCGAAAAGATTCTAGTTGAATTTGGCCCGCGGACCATCTGTTTGCAACCCGTGACTCAACGTGTGAATATTGGGACGGAGTGGCTGCGGCGAGCTCTGCAGGCTCCCAAGTCTTGGGATTCGTGGCCTTCTCTCCATCCCTCTTTCCCAGGACGCCGAGGCCCGGCGCAGCCACGCACTGCGGGGAGCAGCGGAGGAGCGGCACCTAGCGGGCCGCCGGGAGGCGGAGGCGCTGCGGCTCCGGGCTCAACTGGCCGAGCTGCAGCGGGAGCGCGCGCGGCTGCAGCGCAGGCTGCAGCGTCTGGAGCCCTGCGCGCGTCTGCTGGGGCAAATGTTGGAGCTGCTGCCCGAGGTGAGCGCCCTGCAGGAGGTTTTGGGGTTCAGTGTCACGTGCAGCCCCGGGGGGCCTCAAGGACGGCTTTGGAAGTGTGCACTAGTGAAGCGCTGACTGTATGTCAGGAGTCACCACTTACTTAGCACAAACTGTATGCCAGGAACACGCTTTGTTCTTGAATTCTCCCTAAGGTCTAATGAAGTGAGTCTTATTGTCAACCCCATTTTACAGACGGTGCAACTGAGGCTGAGAAAGATAACCTACTGAAGGACACACAGGCATGTGGGGGAGGGGGAATCCAGGAACTCGGTATAGTTCAACGAAACAATGAATTAACATTAATCACAGGCAGTGAAACTTAGATGGGTTTAACGGTAGAGGTGGGGAGTGAAAGTCGGTTCAGTCGTGTCCGACTCTTTGCGACCCCATGGACTATGCAGTCCATGGAATTCTCCAGGCCAGAATACTGGAGTGGGCAGCCTTTCCCTTCTCCAGGGGCTCTTCCCAACCCAGGGATCGAGTCCAGGTCTCCCACATTGCAGGCGGATTCTTTACCAGCTGAGCCACAAGGGGAACCCAAGAATACTGGAGTGGGTAGCCTATCCCTTCTTCAGCGGATCTTCCCAACCTGGGAATCGAAACGGGGCGGGGAGGGGCGAGAGTAACTAACACTTGGGGCGCAGCGATGTGTGATGCCCTGATTTCACAGTTGGGCTAAGGAGGCGCGGTGTTTGGGCGTGGGGAGGGGAGGGAGCCCCAGGCCCGGTGAGTACCCGCTCCCGACCCCATCCCAGTTCCAAGAGGTCCCCGAACTGGTGGCGCGCTTCGACGGGCTGGCGGACATGCAGGAGGCGCTGAGGCTCACGGAGCGCCAGCGGCTCGCGGAGCTGGAGGAGGCGCGCGCGCGGCTGCAGCGGCTGCGGGACTCCTGGCAGGACGAGCTGCTTCTGCAGGGCCAGCGGCGAGCGCATCTCCTGGAGCAACTGGAGTCGGCGCGGGAGCGCACGCTGCACTGGGTACCGAGGCCGGAGGAGGTGGGCGTCCGGGACCCCAGGCTCCCACCGCCGGGAGGAGAGCCGGGGTTAATAACAGGAGATGCGGCAACCCTTCTTTCATGGGCAGTTTTCCTTGACAGCCTACTGGGATCTGACTTGTGGGAAGCAGGGGGCAATGGGGCTCCAGCCCTTTTCAGGCCGGCTCACACCTTAATGGGGCAGGGGGCGGGGTGTTCTCCAGGAATCCAAGTGGATTCAGATCCAGACCACGGCGGCTGAGAAGACCTTGCTCCTGGGACGCACCAGGATGGCAGTACTCAATATGTACCAGCTAGTGTGTCAGCATCAGAGACGGCCACCCGCCCTAGACATCGAGGATGCCGAGGGGCAGCTGGAGCAGGTGAGGACCCCTCTGCAGGTCACCTCCAGCCCCCCAACCTTTGGGAACATACGGTACCTGCAATCCCACCTTCTCTGGATTGAGCATGACCCTCTGTGATCAGAGCCCAGTCTCTTAGCTGCATGCCTGCCTAGCCCCCTGCCTGGGAGCCTTGGGTCAGTCTCGACTCTGCTGCTGCGAGGACAGAAGGAAGTCGGACCATCTCTGGCTCTCAATGGCTTCACTGTGCACTAGGCCAGGGTATACTGATGCATACAATACATTTATGCCAAGAGGTCTTTTGTTTTAGGATCAAACAGCGCAAACAAGTGACAACATCGATAAAAACCAGGAGATGGAAATTCACTTTTAATTAGTCCCTGACCCTCTGGCTCCCGCAGGGACAAGCCTTAGCTTCCCCTGGGGAGTGTGAAGACAGGGTTGTACAGTGGTTTTTCTTTCTGCACAGTGGCATCACAAAGGTCATTGTGTCCAAGGATGCCCGGTTTTTCTATTCACTCAGGTTTGTAAGGTGGTAGAACATGTGACCTGGTTTACACTGGAGGGCGGGGGTTTCTAACGTTGGACCCTTCTGTTAGGATTCTAGTGAGTCCCCAAAGCATAGCCCCTTTGAGAAGTGGAGGAAACAAAGCGAGGCACCCCGCCTTTGCCCCAGCCCACCTCACTCCCGTCCTGTACCCAGAGGCCAGAATTCCAACCAAATGCCCAGAACTGGGTCCCCAGAGCCTACCTTAGTGCCACATCCTGAGTCAGGCGGATTCATGTGTACACCACTGTTCTCTCAAGTGTGGCCCAGGTACCCCAAGGGACAAAAGAAGACTCTAGGAGGGACAGAGGCTCCGTATGAAGTAACAGGCAAAAGCCAGTCCCTTTTCAACCAACTCTCTGATCTTCCCAAGGAGAAAGGTTCAGTGGGGTTGGGGGGGGTGGTGCGGGGGTGACAATATGCCTTTAACGCCTGGAATACCCCTGGTCTCCAGGGCCTGGGACTCACATTTTTTTGTGGGCAACTGCCAGAATTCAGTAACCTGGTTTCACTTTCATTTTGTTATTCTTCCAGTTACCCCCACTTATGACAAGGGGTAATTTAATCTCTTTCCATTTTTGATGGAGACATAGTTTCCTTGTCAGATGTTTATTTCAGTAACAAAGGTGAAGGAAGAGCCCAAGGTGAGATTACCATCACGTTCTAGGTCTTGGCAGTGGATCCATGGGTGTTCATTAAGCTCGTTTCAATAAACAGGTTAATTTAAACAAAATAAAGGTGAAGATGAGAGTAGGTCAGACACTAATGAATATGACTGATCAAACTAAAAGGAAAAAAAAAGAACTGATGGTAAGTGAAAATACTAGCTCAACTATAATACAGGTAATAACCAACTAGAAAACTGAAAAGTGCCTGTGAATGAATTGCTTGGAAGGCTTGGACTGAGATGTTGGACTGAGGCTTAAAAAACCCGGAAGTGTTTATTTAGACCAGGTTCACTGCCCCTGGGGAGCCAACATCACTGCTATCTAATAGGAGTCCCTAACCGCCACCCCTGCTTTGCATCCTCTGGTGTTTTGGGGGGCAGGGACTGGGCACTCAGGGGCTGGGCTCTGACTCTGGCTGTGTTGGGACCCCAGGTGAAGCTGTCCATTCTGGACCTCTCCGCCATACTGGCCAGACTCCGTCAGGCTGAGTCCACTGCCCCCACCTCCTAACCCTGACCCAGGTGAGCAGTGGGAGAGGGACCCGTCGAGGGACCCAGCCTGAGGACAGGGGGGGTACACATCTCCTGTGGGGTGTGGGCTGAGTGGCTCTCACCAGAAAGATGGGAGGGCTGTGCCCGCTCAGATGGCAGTGGGGTGTACACAAGAGGCACACAGCAAGTACTAAGTAAATGTGAGCTACATGGGGGCCCCAAAACCACATCCACTATGTGGCCTGGTACCTGGTCCTCCCTCCCAGGGCAGTGGGGGCATTTGAACCAGCTGATGTTTGTCAGGTTAGAACGGGGCCTGGCACAAAAATTCTGGGGAATTCTAGATGAGTGTTTGGTAAGTAAAGTAAAATAAAGGACCAGCAAGAGGGTCACATGCAGACACCATTCCCAGGGTGTCTGCTCACAAAGGCTCCTCCATAGTGGACTGGCGTTGAGGGATGGCCAGTCTGAGAACCCAGCTGCAAGATGCAGCCCATGACCTTCCCAGGGCCCCCAGCAGGGGCTGAGGAGCACAGGACTTAGAGGAAAGCAGAGGTCAGGACAGGTTTTGACCTCTGGGTATGGGGTGGACTCTTCACAGCCAAGAGGAGCACTGCATGCTCTGATCCTTGACCCCACATCCCATCTGCCTCTCACCGTCCAGTCCCAGCTGCAAGCCTGTCCTGGTGGGAGGAAAGGGACCCAAGGGCCAACTTCAAGGTCCTCAAACCTTGGCAACCTACCCATCCTCTGAGCCTGACTTTTCTCATCAGCAAAATGGAGACATTGGCAGAACCCACACAGGACCCACCCACACGCTCTCGGCTCATCGGCACTCCAGCTGAAATTCCAGCACCCTGGTCTGTCCCTTCCAACTCCTCAAGCAGACTGTGCTCCTGGTCCACTGGAGATGCTCAATAAAGATTTATTACATTAAAAATACATCACTGGGCCTCAGGCACTCAGGGCTCAAACCCATGGGGCCACCATCTCTGAATCTGGAACACACGAAAAGCAGCAGCAGCTGAGGTGCCAGCTCAGGTTGTGGCCTACCTGGCAAACTCCTATGAACCCTTCAAGACCCTACTCAAATGTGCCCTGTGTCAGGCAGAGGCAGCTGCTGCCCCTCTGTGGCTGTGCGGCACTCCTTTGCATGGGCCAAGGGAGCTCCCCCAGTGCTCAACTCAGGGCCAGGCACACAGCGGTACACGGGGAACGCTGCTGATGTCCACGCCTGGACCAACTGAGGAATCGCAGGGCTGTGTCACCTTCTTACATCCTCTTCCTCATCTTGCCCTTCTTGGAAGGGGCGCCCCGCCCGAAGGCGCCCTGCTGCAGCTCCTGTGCGCGGCGCCGGTTGCGGGCAGAGAGCTGCTTCAGGCCCCCACGCTGCAGGAAGCGCATCTTCTGGGCTCGGCGCCGCTGCTTCAGGATCTGCTGCTTGGTCTTGAGCTCTGAGCGCACGCGGCCCGCGGGGGTGCCAGGGGTGCGGGGCTGGGATGCACCTGCCAGGACAGAGATGCCAGGAGCTCAGCTTTTGGGTCGACTCCCACTGTCTTCTCCTCCCAGAAATTCCCCTGTCCCCACTCCCATTCTGTGTTCAAGCCCCAACATCTGGGAGATGGTAACTGCTGAATAAGGCTTAAGTTGTCCACTGTAACGGGCAACAGCATGGACCCTCTAGCCCAAACTGCCGAGTTCAAATCCCAGCTGTGACCTCATGGACAATGACATAACTTCTCTGTGCCTCAGTTTCCCCGCCTGTGAATTATGAATAGCATCTACCTCCAAGGTCCCAGAGAGACATAAATAAGTTATTATGTAAGCAGTGTTCAGAACAAGGCCTGGTCCACAGTAAGGCCTCCTAAGTGTAACTATCACAATCAGAAATCACTGAACAAAGGCTTTTCAGCACCTCCTCTAGGCTGGGCACTGGAGACTCAGGCAGACTCCAATCCCTGTCTCTATGGACTGTATTGTCTAGGCTGTAGCTTAACCTTCTTCTGGAAGAAGAGAAATCAGAGGAGGTCAGTGAGGAGAAGGGACTTGTCCATGGTCACCCAACAAAGTGGTGGTGGCGGGCAGGAGCAGTCAGGCACCTGCCCCAGCCCGCTCTCCCAGGTCTCTGGGAGGGCACTCTTACCCCTTGCCCAGGGCCTCCCTGGTGGCTCAGAGGGTAAAGTGTCTGCCTACAATGCGGACACCCGGGTTCGATCCCTGGGTCGGGAAGATCCCCTGGAGAAGGAAGTGGCAACCCACTCCAGTACTCATGCCTGGAAAATCTCATGGACGAAGAAGCCTGGTAGGCTACAGTCCACGGGGCCGCAAAGAGTCGGACACTACTGAGCAACTTCACTTTCACTTTTTCTTTACCCCTTGTCCACCTTTGTCTGTCACCCGCTGGAGGACCCAGGCCGCGCCAAGAGGACCAAGTACCCGAGTTGACCAAAAGTACTACTTGGGAGCCTGGGTTTTAAGGACGACCCTCCCAGGGCTCTTACCTTGCCCTCGGCCACGCTTCCCACCTCTTCGCTCTGGGCCGCGACGGTCAGAAGTTCCTTCTTCTTCTGAGTCACGGTCATCGATTTTCTGTTTCTGTTTCCACTTTTGGTAGCTGGGGGGCTGCATTAAGGAGGCTACTTGCGGCACAGAGACGCCCTTGGCGCTCCTGGGGTGTGACCATGCTCCCCTCCCCAACCAGGACACAGGCCTCACCTAAAAGGGGCCGGGGTGGTTGAGCTAGGCCACGCCCTCCCTGACCCCGCCCCCCCTACAGTGGCTGTGCCGATAGAAAGCGCTTGGGCCCGCCCCCTCTGGTCCCGCCCTCCAGGATACAGGTCCCGCTTGTAAGAGCTGCTGATGTAGCGGCCACTCTCGGTCTTGATCTTTTTCTTGTCCTCTTGTCCTGACTGTCCCACAAACCGCTTCTTCTTCCGGTCCCTGTGGGAGGAGTTGGGAGGTGTGCCGCGGAGGGAGGTGGCCCGCTTCCCCTCCGGGCCTGTGTCCCTCTGACCTCTCATCGGGTTGTTGGGAGGATTCAAGGAAAGCGGCATGCCCGCGTCTGGCATGCAGCAGGTGCTCCGTTAAGGCCCGTTCCCTGACCTTCCTCACCATTCCCTGGCATCCCAGGCCTCCAAAAACAGTGTGGGGGCGTCTGGGGATTAATCCAACCTCGGAGTCTGGGTCAGGGGCACGGGCCCCCTGGGGGGGTTCCCGACCCCTACTTTACCACCTCCTGGCTCTGTGACCCTGGACTGAGTCACATCACTTCTCCAGAACCAGAGTTCAAATGGGCAAACTGGGTGATGAGCCCCTGTCTAGAAAGACTAGCCCCCCAGAAGGGCAGATGACCACATGGGGATTCCAGGGGCAGGGGTGGGGCGGTGTCATGATCTGTGCTCCACAGGATCCAGTGAGGGGTGGGAGGTGACATAATTCCGGCTCTAGGGGATCCAACGGGAGTCAGGACAGTCAGGGGGTCACGTCTGTTGTGGGGACCAAGTGGAGGGCAGGTGAGCATGGAGGGGTGTCCAGCTGGCTCACTCACCACTTGAGCTGCTGCCGGCCCCTGGTCAGGCTCTGGGCTTCGTCTCCCATCAGGTCCAGCACTGCGCCAGCCACCTGCTGCTCGAAGGCGCCTCCATCCCCGCTGATGCTCAGGCTGCAGAGGGAGGGTGGAGAGACATCCTGAGGTTGGGAGGGGGGCCCAAATGCCCACCCCACTCCAACCCCGCCAGGACCAGCAGCCACTCACCCCCGCTCGCTGTCAAAGTCCTTGGGCCGGTAGGGGATGTAGAATGCCTGGTCCCGCTGCCGGGCCTCCTCCCTCCGCCTCTTGGCTCCCTGGTGGGGTCCTGGCTGCTGCCGCTTCCGGCTGACAACTTCTGTGAAGACGTCCTGGTGGACGGAGGCCCAGTGTCACCTGCAGCCCCCAGGGAGCAAACTGGCCTCCCCACTCACCAGCCCAGCTGGGGTCTAGGGCCAGGAGCTTCTGGGACCCTCCGCATCCTCATCAGGACCTGGACTGGTAGGGTAGGGGCGGGCAGGGTGCCGACCAGGGTGAGCCCCACCACGTGCCAGGTCCAGCTCAGGCCTCCAATCACATGACCAAGGCAAAGCCCCCACCCCTCTCTGGGTGGCCTTGCTCTCTATGATGTGGACTAGTCCAGGGGTCTTCAAGCGTATTTTTTGCCTACTGGACCCTCTGTCTGAATCAAGCATTAGAAGAGTAGGCCCAAGGCCTTATCCACCAGGTGAATGGGACACCCTGGACCCCTAGCCATGCCTTTGGCCATGAAGGCCCAGTGCCTGACTCTGCCTGAATCATGCCTCCGCTGCTGCCAACTCGGCCCCTTCCCACCTGCCCGGACCCCAGGCTGAGACAGACGGAGATGACAATGACACGGCCACCTGGGCCTGTGGGAATCCTCCACGTGCCGTCTTCAATCTGCCCAGTGGACGCAGAACTGGGTACCGCGGTCACATGACTGCAGTGCCCTCAACTACCACATTCTGGAAATGAACCTTCCAGAGACTCACTTGGTGGCAAAAGCCGCCCTGAGCCGACAAGAGGCTGTGACTGTCCCCTCAGCATGGGGACCAGCGCAGCTCACTGTGGAAACTGAAGCATTTCACGGCAGTGACACCCCAGACCCTGCTGAGGGTGTGACATCATCCACAGGGGACCCACCGTAAAGACTCGAGTCCTGAAACACACTTGGTGCCCTGGGCTTCAGGCAAGGGATGGTGGATGAGACCATGACTCCCTTCCGTAGATAGGGAGGCTGGGGCTGGGCCACTGGTTCCCCCAAATGTCAGAGGTGACTGGAATCACTGCCTCCACCCCTAGCAATGGCTCAAAGCCCTGAGGTCAGCCCCATGGGCTGCCGGGACTTGACCCTCCTTTCCCCGACCCCAGGCCAGATTCCAGGGTCCCCAGTATGGGGCCTGCACCTCTACACTCTCTCCTGCTGCTTCCTCCTTCTCAGCCTGCTCCTCCTGCGGTGCTGGGAGGCTCGGGGCCAGGCCCGCCAGGCCCTCCTGCCGCTCCTGCCGTCCCTGCTGGAAGCTGGCGATGGCTTTGCGGTCCTTCTCCCGCTTGGCGCGCATCACCTGGCTGCTCAGGTCGCGGCTGGAGGCGTTGATCTCAAAGATGGTCTGGAGAGGGGACACCCGAGGCCCTGACCCACTGGCCGCGTCCTCCCCAACTCCAGCCTCCCCAGCTTGGCGTGCGCTCCCTGGTATTCCTCCCAGTTCCCTTCCATTCATTCCTGGCTTTTCACAATCGTGGAGG